GGAGTAGTGCCCATATAAAGGTCCCTCCTAATTTTACCATATTTCAAAGGATTTGGCTAAAGATGTATATTATAGGTGGAAATCTTACACAAAAATGTCAACATATCTACAAATTTTAGAATTTTCTCCCTGTAATAGAACCCCCTCAAGTCCACCTTTTGGCGGACAAACAGACCGACATGGTTAGGGGGACTGATGACGACTCTAATGCACAATCTGAGGTGCTAATTGGTTTAAAAAAGTAATTAATTTTGGCTATTCTTAAATCATTCAGCCCTAAATTATGAGCTGTACAAAATACAGTAAATTCCAAATTACTGCTCATTTGAATGGAAAATTTTGCTACGATTTTTACCATACTAAAAATTAATTTGATCCCTTACATGGGGATACGATTGATATATACTTTTTAAAAGATTTGAATAGCACATCCACACATTTGAAGTCCAAGGTTTAAATATTGAAGCCCACGGCTTAAATATGGGTACAGGTATATTAAAACATTTTTAAAACACTTTTAATCGACCAGTACGTGACAAATATGCATAATAGACAAAAACTACGGGCCGGCAACGCGGAGCGGGCCAGCTAGTATTTACATAAAAAAGGTTTATCGGGACAAGAAATTCATAATGATATGGTGAATGTGTTAGGTGAAAGTGCTCCATCAAATGCAACATTAAAAACTGGGTCGCTGCATTTAAATCGTACAAGCATAAGCGATGAACCACATAGTGGACGTCCAAAAGCAGCAACAAAAACATAAATTGTAGCCAAAGTGCTTGATATGGTATTAAGTGATCGACGAATAAGAGAGTGTAAAATTGCTAATATCATGGGCATCTCAAATAATCGAGTCCATTTAATTTTGCAAGAAGAACTACAGATGAAAAAAGCTTTCTGCAGCTACATGACCCATTTTCAATACCAAAAGTCCTGAAGACATAACATACATCAACGAATTAAAGTACGTGTTGCTTGACTACCGAACTTATTCTCTTTGTCCCAGTGACTTTTACTTGTTACCAAATCTAAAAAAAGATCCTTTTTGGCAAGGGTTTTACCTCAAATGAAGATACAATTACAGTTGTAAATCACTATTTTGAAGACCTTGAGGAAAAAAAACTATTTTAATCAAGGGATAGAATTGCTAAAAAGGCGTTGGACAACGTGTATTGAAGAGATTATATTGAAAAATAAAAATATTTTTGTAAAACTAACTATTCTCTTTTATTGATAGGCTAAGAAGTTTCCTAACCGCCCTCGTAATAAAATCTCAGTTTCCGAACCAACCTCGTAATATAATCTCGTTAATGTCATGGAAGCACTCACTTAGTGACCATAAGGAGTTTGTCAACCTGTTCACGATTTAACACGTTTTTGAGTGAAAGGATTGAAATCTTGGAAACATTAACAGATTTTAAGAAACCAAATCAGAAAGAAAGCCAAAATGTCTCGAGATCTCAAAAATTCCACTCATAATCAAATAAGGACAAAGTTGTGTAAAAATGTAATCAGAATCACTCTCTTAGACAATGTAGCCAATTTAAATTATTATCGTCCTACCAAAGCATAAAGTTCGTATATGCAAATAAATATTGTGTCAATTGCTTATCGTATAATCATTTCGAAGGGAAATGTCATAGTCAAAATTAATGTGAAAGATGCCTACGAAATCATCACACAAAGCTTCATTTAGAGAAGGAATACAAAGACAGGGGTGAGGAAACTTCAGTTGGAGATCTTATGTAATCTAACTCCCCTTGAGGGGAATAGGGAATAGCTCTGCGAAAGATTCAGTTAAACTTTATTTTTCTCAGAATAACATTACGACGGTACTACCGACTTCTCTTGTCGAAGTATTTTATGTCGGTGGCTCGAGCATTATAGGGTGGAGGTTCCGAGCGAAGTTCTTTGTCAAAAATAATTCAACAACTCAACATTCCTAAAGTAAGACATAATACGCAAATATGTGTTGGTAATTCAGTGTTTTAGTTGGTTAGTGTTTTAGTGAAAGCGGTGGACTCAAACTTCTTCCTGAAGATGAACTTAATAATATTTTCAAATTTAGCGCACCAGCAAAGAAGGCGAACATTAATCATTTGAATGGTATTTCGAAATAAGTCTCATCTGAAAAAGGTCAGTGAAGAATGGGATTTTACGTTCGAATAAATTACAACGCTCCTCATTCGCATTGAAGCTGTACTCAACTCAAGACCATTGCTCAGTATCGGAAAATCCAAATGAATTGCTCCCCCTGACTCCTCGTCACTTCTTGCGAAGAACTTTTCTAACAGCTCCTACTAAGTCTTGCCCAATCATACCCATGAACTATATCCCATACATCAATATGTGGCAACGGTTGAATGCACTTCGTCGCATATTTCTTCAGAGGTGGGAAGCAGAATATGTCACTGAGTTACAAAGGAGATACAAGTGGAAAACTTTCATAAACAATCGAAAGGAAGGCGATCTGGTCATCGTTAAATACGATTTATTACCTCTTACTAAGTGATGTCTATGACGAATCACTCAATCTTTTATCGGCAAAAATAATAATGTACGGGTGGTGTAGATAAAAACAAAAAATGGTATCATTACTCGCCCAATTGTTAGTGTGTCTACTTTCCCCTACCACACCCCGACTGCTTCCAGACCTGATGAAGAATTGTCCATAAAACTACTAAACTAATAATCAAATCTAGTTTTTCATTGTATATGTTTGTCTTTTCCTTTATTTTCATTCGTGGATATGACATGGCTGACAGCAACCCAAAAACAATTTGCTTCCTCCGTGGTCGAAACCAGTGGCCACAAAAGGATCCCTCACAGATGACGTTTCTGTCGAAGTGGTTTTTACACATTGTTCATCACATAGCTATTAACTAAGAAATATGAAGAAGGTGGTAACATTTGCGTGATTTATTCAAGTGCCAAGAAATGATTTATCAAAATTCGAATGTTCTTTCTTAACTTGTTATTTAGACATCCACACACCGAGCGAAATCAAAATTTACTCATGCAATATATTATATATCGTGTAGTCTTCAGGGGCTCATGTTTCCGCATCAACATTCGATTTTGTAAGGCACTCAGCCCATTTGTACATCATGACCTCTCCCCAGCTTGTTACACCGTGTTGTTTAAATTAGCCTTTAAGAATAACTGAATAAAGCAAGCGCTTTATACTTGAATTGTCCCAAAAAAACTGGACATTTGTTTCGCTTTTCTGTGAACCTAGTCGCAGAATTCTAAGATCATGTACCGTATCTGAACACCGCCTTAAAATATATTTTAAAATCTTATATTCCATCGGAGCACTAGAAAATGGTATTGTATCAAATTACTGTTTGATGTTTTTGTTAATACCAGCATAATATATACAATTCAATATAATGCAATTTAAATGCCTGACTTTTTTGGTATGTCTATGTTAGATTATTTGATTTTAGATTTTTATTTATGAGATTTTAATTTAGAAAATATGAAGAATCATAGAAAATATAAAAAGAGGAATATATAATCTGATACAAGTTTGCACTTAATCATTACATTTAAATGGTAAATTTCTAGTTTAGTGTAGAGGTTTTAGTGTTGAGAAATAAGGGTAATATGTTAGTCCCATAAGAATTATTTTTTAGCAAAAAGTCAAGTTTTTTTAAGATGTGCAGGAACAAATAAATGGAAATCTATAAATAATGTTTATTATGCAATAATTTTTCAATAGTTAAACATTGTATTGCTCTCTTTAATAAATGTTAAGGAACATTTATCATAAATTGTCGTTGCGTTAATATTGTTTGAATAACTTTTACTGGAGTATTACCTGCATTCAGTAGCGGGACCACCCTGCCCATTTTCCATGCATCTATTAGGATGGCAAAAGAGAAGTTGAAAGTTTGGGTTAGATACTCAACTTCTATTTAATCGATTTTCTCCAATTTCACCATAGAGATTCCGCCAGACCGAAGTGTTAATAAGCGTAGAATCTTCCAATAGAGGTGCAACCACAATTGGGAGAGATCGTACATGACGTAGAATTATTTTAACTTTGCCACTCTCGTAGTGTTTTCAAAACTGCTAATGCTAATTTTTCACATCTGGTGTGATCCTTTCTCAATACATTGTATCTATCAGAACTTTGAAGATTGCTTGTTTTACCTACCTTCTTCTTTTGGATCGCAGCGACCTTTATACTCTTCTGACTAATAAAGTTTACTATTTCGTTGATCTTACCTCGCAATTAAAGTAAAGAAAAGATAAATTATCCAGAACTTTAACAACACTATGTTGCATTAAATACTGCCGTTGTGGAGATTGCGAAGAATCTTGAGATTGAAGACGTTGGCGACGAAGATTATCGTAAAAATTAATATATAATTGCTGTGTTAACGGCCCCTGGTCCTTTTCGCCTGGTCTTCGAACATTAGTATTTTCTTTGCAACGACCGCAAAACATCATGAATGAATTACGGATAACAAATATGGATATTAGGCAACATAACTTGTGGCTTCGGTTTCAACATAACACTTGTTTTAAGTAAAGACTATGGCGGTCTAAATTTATGTTTTTTTATCAAAAAATGTTTTGGTTGATTGTTGTTTCTTTTTGCTTAGCAATGAGTCTTCCATTATGACAACAGTTAATCGTTGAGGTATCGATTATCGGTGTCATGAACCAGAAATCTCAATACAGTCATATTGACAATTTGTTTTGTTTATTCAATACTTAAATAAAGAAGAAAGATCCAGTCGGATACTTTTTTATCAGTTCTCCCGATTATATTTAATATTAAGAAAGGTCAAATGACGCATGTTTTTTTGCAACTTTAGAAAGTTCAGTTAATGGCTTGGACCGCTAAGATGCAGCATTTTACCGTTGGTTGCAAGTAGAGTTCAAGCTCAAATCCCATTGTTATTTGAAGAAAAACATCAAATTCTCATTGCATTACATTGTAAACAACAAACATTTTAATTTGATCAATATGCGTCTTCTTATAGAGTGCAAGAAGCTGTCCACATGCAGAAGTCTTTACAGATTGAATTGGAAAACTGGATAAAAACTGAAAAGGAAATAGAAGAAAAAATCAATGAAGATTCCAAAAAGGTTGAGAAGTGGGCAGCAAAGGAGAATCTATTGCTGCAAAAAATTGATGAGTACACAGAAAAGATTGCATCACTGGGGGCTTTACCACAATCTGATCCAACATATGCTAAAATGTCCCTCAAAACATTGTTTAAGGAGTTAGAAAAGGCCAATCAACATCTTAAAAAATATAACCATGTTAATAAAAAAGCGTTAGATCAATTTCTAAGCTTTTCCGAGCAAAAAGAAAAGCTTTACAAAAGAAAAGAAGAATTGGATATTGGCGATGAGAAGATTAGGGAGTTAATGCAGTCTTTGGAAATGCAGAAAGTTGAAGCTATTCAGTTCACATTTAAACAAGTCGCTAAAAATTTTACCCAAGTGTTTAAAAAGTTGGTGCCTCAGGGAGCTGGGTATCTTATACTTAAAACAAAAGACAACGTAGGTGATGTCTCAGACAGAGAAGTTGCAAATTCTGATGCATTTACAGGGATTGGCATTCGTGTGTCTTTTACTGGCGTTGAAGCTGAAATGAGAGAAATGAATCAATTATCTGGAGGACAAAAGTCACTTGTAGCACTGGCACTAATTTTTGCTATACAAAAGTGTGATCCAGCTCCATTTTATTTATTTGATGAAATCGATCAGGTAAGTTATTTTTTTTTTATATAAACTACCATAATTTACATTTTTGTTAAAAAACCATGGTTAATTTAAAAGCATAATTTCAATATGTTCAAAAGTATAATATAATAGTGATACATGGGCAAACAACATGTAGTTTTTTAAATTTATTCTTTGCATCATTAAAATTTGTTACAATTACATGGTACACCATTAATTCCCAAATTAGTTTAATAGTATTTAAATATATAAGTGTATATACGTGTTGGTATTTTCCCGGCTTTCATTTTCATGTATGTTCTAAAGGCCAGAACAAGACGAATTGTATGAATTATGCTTTTTTCGACACACTGACTTTGTCTACTCCATCACGTGTACTTAAGTTGAGAGAGACGATGTGTTTTCGTGTGTGCTGTAGTTTTAAAGTAACAAACCCTGCGTAAATATAAAATTGAATGCCAAACCAGTAATTAAAAAATATTCTTATTATTATTAGATGAGGGCAGATATGACCCTCATTCAATAACAAAATATGCATAGACATCAACAAATAAATAGAAAAAAAAGGAAAATTTATTGGTGTCTATCATAAATTTTTGGTTATTCAATAATAAGAAAATATTGTTTGCCTATTTTCTACCTACATTTACAGTATGTGGGCAGAGATATGACTCTTATACAATAACAGAATATTCACAACAATGGAAGTATATTGTTGTTTACGTGAATTAAAGACACACTCATTTGCAATTACACCTCAATACTGTAGGCAAAAACCGTGTACCAGAAATATGTTAGTATTCCAAGGAAATACTTTATTACAAAAAAATAATTTTTTCATATTTTGGAAAAACAGGTAGCGATTGTGCTTTGCCTTCATTACGTGTGTGTATTTTTCGTTGGTATTGTTGTTAAAAATTGAATTTAGGCTACTGGGATATATAACCATTTTAGATAGAATTGTCCACATATGCATTTATTTAAGTATAGTACCCCCAAGTCCATTTTCCCAACCAATGTGTGGTCTGAAAAAATTGTATTCTATTGAATTAGTAACCCCAAGATAACATTGGTTTGGAACGTAGGTTTGGGAAATAAACTCTGAAATGTCAAAATGGGACTCATTCAGTCAGAAATTGTGGCAGAGACATGAAAAAATTGTAAATATTAGAAAGTAGCACGGGACCGAATGGGATCTCCGACGCACAATTTAAGTGTCAAAAAATTAATTCCCATCTTATGGTGATGGATGTAAATGAGTAATTTTCTTTGACTATTCTGAAATCATTCTGCCCCTAATTAGGGGTGGACAAAACTAAAATCGTTGGAAATACACATTCCGAATTATAGCTAATTTGAATGGAAAATATTGCTAAGCTCTTTACAATACCAAAAATTGAGCTGAGTTTTCACGCGGGGCTATTATAGATGTTCTATATCATATAATGTTTTAACATTCAATTTAAAGCCTATGGCTGAAAATAAGATCGGGCTATTCAAAATATCTAAAACCGAAGTTAGGTGGACGTCTATTATAACTTCTCTCATGAATATGTATTTCTATTCATAAATTAATATGGAGATATTACTTATAATAAAAATTGTGGCGCTTACATAAGTCACATTTGTAATTTGCTATGCTTTAAAAAATATGTATTAAAAACTTACACTACGGGCCGGCTAGTTGTATATTAAAAATATTTCGGAAAAAATCCACGGAGTAAACGTTTTGAAAAATCTTGGCTCTGAGTAGAAAAAATTATTTTACAACTACAAAAAATTGGATTGGATCTTTATTATCAGAAAAATTGCTAGAATAGTGAAAACCACACAACAGAGGCAAATCAAATTGAATTAAATATAGAAAACTATACACGAGTTTGAAAATCAGCTTTGTCACTTCGCTTATACGCTCATGTAATGAAACGCATCATTCTCTAGACATAAATGTCAATCCGTTCTGGGATATTTCGTTTGTAACAGAAGATCGGGGTCCTAGTGTATGTATTGCTTTACTGCAAGACTAACAGCCTGTTCCACGATCTCGAAAGAAAATTTGTGCGAACGAAGGCTACTCACTCACTTTCGTATAAGAATGCGTTCCACTAACTTTCGTTCTTTCTTTCGCATAGCCTTACGTGATTCAGTGTTGCTAAATATTTTTTTGGAAAAATTAATCGCGAAATAAGGCAAAAAAAGCGCCAAATGTCTAATTTAAACGCGAAAAAGCAGCAGTGGCTCTGTCTCAACTGACATTTCAGTTGTAAACAAACAAATTGTAAATAAACAAACAAAATAAAATTTCTAGTGATTGTGTTCAAACTATTTGTGCTCTTAGAAAATAAAAAAAAAAGAATATTTCCGTAGCCCTATTTTTTATGGATGATGTGGAGGAGGTTCAAAATGTGCCACGGAGGCATTTAAGAGATGCTTCGAATTTATTTGAAGTACCTAACAACCAGTAAGTATGATTGTATTTTTACATTTTTGAAATAATAAAAAATGATTTTTTCTAGGTTTGTGGCCAATTTTCGTGTGTCGAAGCAAGTTTTCGGGCTCTTTTGGATATGATGGAAGAGAAGTGGGTGCCCGGTTGCAGAACTACCCAAATCCGCCCCGATTTAAAACTTCTTCTGCTGCTTCCAAAAATTGGCACTCCTCTGGCGAACACAGGATTCTCCTCCATATACCCGCAGCTGTGTAGTTGATGATTTTTTCGTGCTGGAATTGAGAAAATAAAAAAATATATATTTGTTGTTCACATATTAAATTGCATTTATTATTTTTACTTACCTTTTTGTTTCTATTTTGAATCAAGCAATGTTTATGTTAAAACAATTTTCCTTAATTGTTATTATACGATAGCAAACACACAAGTGACTGATTTTGACATTTGTGTTCGCATGCGTAGGAAAGAAAAAAGATAGTGGAACGCAAAATTACACTGAAATGCTTACGTTTTCGTTCGCTTTGATTTTCGTGCAAATTTTCGTTCTGATGGATTTTAGTGGAACGGAAATCAGCTGTTTGTCGTGTAAAAGTTGTGCGAACGTGTTCTTTCGATATCGTGGAACTGGCTGTAAGATTTTCTAATATAAACTTTCATTTAGTTAAAATAGCTAGCATATCTAAGAAGAAAACCGGATATATGACAATGAAAAAACAGATATTGTATAAGGAAACGTATTAATGACTGGAAAATTTGATCAGAACCTTATAAATTCCTTTGCAAAACACGAACCGGTGCTAACAATTGCTCGTATGATGAATTTACATCCAATGAGTACCAAAATACAGTCAATAAATACACATAATGAATGCACTATTTATACCTTCTATTCCTTCTTAGAACTTGAAACATGACGTTGGCGTGGGTTATATGCGTACATGCAATAAAACACCAGTTTTTTTAATTTGAAATTAAACTATTCTTCATTCGTAGATATTTTCTGCTTATTATCAATTCCATGATGTTAAGCATTTGATTACCGCCAGAAGAATGGATGAATTCTTGTTTTCAGTTTCAGTTTTAGCCTACGGCCATTTTATTAATTCAAATTTTAATACTAACATAGGTTAAATGGCTTAAACCTAACTATACTATAAATTAACATGCATTTATTCAACGCGTACTTTACCTTAACTAAAATTGCCACAACATGGTTATGCTTTAAAAGGGCTATGAAAAACTTACGAGCTAGATAAGAAAATTAAACTAAATATTTTACAATACACATAAAACTACTTAACCTAACTTAAGTAAGCTGGGCGGTCTACTCCAATCCGAGGCTAAAAATCTCCAATGGAAGAATATAGGACTTTCTTTCCCGTGAAGTAGACCCAGCTCGTTCAGCCTGGAAAGGGCGGCTGGTGGCAAATGCTTCCGAGTTCGTAGCTGGTCCGCATCTTCTTAGCACCTCAACATACCCTCGACGATGATTTTATCTATGGACTGGTATCTATCCCAAAATGCTAGTCCAGTCTTATTCATGAAGACATCTATTCTATCTATCTGCGCCCTATCGTAGATAGACCTTCAAGAACGGGTTCTATAGGAGTATTTTTTTTCCCACGACCTTATCCTTTCCATCTGATGTGACGAAATGTCAAACCAGACGGGGAAGGTATAGGCGACGATAGGTCTGATCACCTGCCGGTAGATCAGAAGCCTAACATCTTGGAAAATACCACCCCTCATCCTAAGGATTCCACTGTATCCGAAATTCAGACTTTTGGTCCTCGAAAGGACATAGTCCATGTGACGAAAACGGTCAAACCCCTCATGAAATATAACCCCTTAATATCTCATCTTATTCTAGACAGGATCCGGCTCCGAACCTATCTTTAGAACCGGCCCCTAAAATTAAGGTAGACAATACCTGGCCGACCAAGGAAGGCCGTAGCACAACATTCCCCTACATTCAACTTTAGGCGCCCTCTAACGAAGTACCGATGGAGGCCATTGAGATACTCGTTAGTGTGCCTATTAACCGACCTAGCAAGGGGACCGGAAAAGGCTAGAAGGACATCATCGGCATATGTCAGGAGAAGACCACAAGGGCCGGGATGTCGCAAGAGAAGATGTTATATAATATTGGGCCAAGGAGGAAACCTTGAGGAACCCCTGCCAGGACCGGGCGGCGTCTAAAGAGTCGCTCACCAACTTTAATCCTAAAGAATCGATTCCTAAGAAAACTAGCGACTATTCTACAGGATTGACTGTCGAAGCCAAACGATTGGAACTTATATAAAATTCCATCGTGCCTGACAGAGTCGAAAGCGCTCGCGATGTCTAGGGAGACGGCTATAGTTCCGTACTTCTGTCAAAACTTTTTTCCAACGAAGTTGCTAAAAGGTGTTAAGCTATGGGTCGTAGAGATACCAGACCTAAAACCAAACTGACAATCCCGTAGAATTCTCCTTCTATGGTTCTTCTAATCCTTGCCAGAATAAAGAATTCAAATAACTTTCCAAACGGCGATAGGAGGAAAATAGGCCTGTAGTTACCACACTGAGAATCAGTACCTCGCTTCAGTGTGGGAACCATCTTGATTAAAAAGAACAGAACTACATTCCCTGCCCTTTTCAAAGCTACGTCGGGAATTTGCCGTAAAACCCAACCTTCCTGGCATAGACAAAACCCCCTATCTTCCCAAAGAGAGATGTTGTCCACAGAGGAGCCATTAGCAGTGAATGAACTGCTAAACGACACGAAAGGAGAATGGTATTCAACGCCTTCTACCGCCAAGTTGACTTAACGTTGAAAAGAATCGTCGGCCGAAACATCCCCATGTCGAAGAGTTCCCTGCACCTGGTCCGCCAACAACTCAGCCCTATGTTCATCAGAACTGATCCTAGCACAAGTGGAGTCTACGAGGGGATTGACTGAATCTCGAGAGACGAGGCCGGCCATTCGCTTGACCTTAGCATAGGTCTTGGAATTGACCGTATTTCCCTCGAGAAAGTCCTTATACCGATCTTTTCGAATCGGCGAATATTGGCTTCAATGATCTGGTCTAGGTTGCGGATGTCAGCCGTGAGGACTAGTCGTCGCTCAGAATCACCAGATCTACGCAATACTCGACAAAGCCATCTACGTTCCCTAATAAAGTCTAAGATCCTAGGAGGGAGATTGTCAAGGTAACTGCTTTATGTCCTGTATTGGGGCCTAAAGCATCAATGACCTCTCGAAAAGCGGTACCTAAGACCTCAATGCAGCTATCTATTTCCGAAATAGAGACATTGCGGTCAGATGGCAGCGCTGCCTATATCGACGGATGTTCATCCGGTCGAAGTTAAAAAGCGACCTGACTTCTCCATTTTGCAAGGAGCCAATTTCTAACTCTATGAGAATAGTCCTATGGTCGGACTCAAAGTAGTGGGTCGTTAACATGGTTCTCTCCACTGCCAGTGCTGCGCCTGGCGTATGAAAGAAGAAGTCGATATACGACCCCGCCACTCCATTGGACCTATCAGATGGAATGGCTGCTACATACGGACAATCGAGAAGGAAGGCAGATATTCCTCTTCCACTGGTATTGACCTCTGCACCACCCCTTAAGGTTGTCTCGCGTTCAGGTCTCGCGTTCAGGTCGTCTAAAGCGAGTATGAGGTCCAGATCTAAAATTTGGAAGGAACCTAGAGGGCGCTGGTAAACTGAAGCGAAGACTATGGAGGACCTATCATGCCTCCAGACCCTAGCGACACAAGATTCTACAAAACCCTGAGGAGATGGGGTTTTTTTCTAAGCGAAGACTGCCTTTGACTAAGACTGCAGTGCCCCCTCCTGGGCCTGTCAGTCTATCCTGCCTATATGTTTTAAGCCCTACCATATGAAGCTTATGATTCGAAGTGAGCCCTTTTTCGGTCAGCAGAATAATGTCCTGCTGATGCTCTAGAACAAAGTTCCGCAAGAAGTGCCTCCTAGTTTTAAAAACTATGGAGCTGCAGCTTAGAAAAACGCACTTCAAAATCCCTAATCTAAGGCTATGTGGACCATGAGGGCCCACCAAGCTTCCGCGTTACACCTTTCTTCGCGGATACGCCTAAAACTAGGACCAAACGACCTAACTTTGGCTAACATCGACAAATCACCAAACTCCTTAGGCATGCTGCTCATCAGTCCTCTAATGTCCTGGGTGGGTCCGGATGGGCGGGCGGCGGTAGCAGTAGCTTTGGGGTAGTAGCTGGCCGAGTGGGTTTCTGGGGCTGTCCAGATATTCCTACTGCGACTATTCTATTTACATGGTTACATGGTTATTTTAACCATTTAAACAAATTAAATATAAAATATGTACATGGTGGAATTCATTGTTAAAAATATTAAAGTAAAATAATATCTATATATCTATATATATAAAAGGAAGTTGTGTTAGTTACTACGCTTATAACTTAAGAACCGCTGGACAGATTTTAACGATTCAAACAAATTCGGAATTGTCTCTTTTCCGAAAAGGATAATATCCAAAAAAATCGCGTAAAAATGTGATATATTAACATTTTCATTTTGACTTTTGAATTGTACAATAGTAATGTTTTATTTTGCATGATTTTTTTCCATTTTGACTTACTTTTTTCTAATGTACATTTGTAGCGTTTTTTATATTTTATTTTTGAATTCGAATATTAATACCAATTTATTTAATTGACTTGATTTCTTGAGAACTGAAATTGATGGCGGGTTACATGGAAGTGTAGTACCGAATTATGCGGTGGCGAAACGGAATAGAGGATATCGAAATAATTAAACGCGGTCACACCAAAGTTAAAAGATAATTACTTTTTCAAAATCGCCAAAAACTCACGAAAAAGAGATCTCATTGCACAAATTCTGAAATCGGGAAAAAATCGAAAAAAAAAATTTTTTTCAATGGAATCGATTTTTAAAATAATAGTACATTCTATTGACAAACTTTGTAAGGACCTTTAAACATTTGCTGTAAAAAATCGGCTAACAAGTTGAATATTTTTACAATTTGTTATTCTTTTTTTGTCAATTTTTTTTTTCAATTTGCATTATCATATTGAATTCAATTGATTTTTTGTGAACAAAATGAAGAATAATTTTTCACTATACAATTTTTCACCAAAATAAGTGCGAAATAGAATGTAAACTGACATCTACCTTTCAACTCCAGGGCCTATATCGTGGTTCAGCTGGAAGATGCGAACACATTTAAATAATCAAAAATGACCGAAAAAGACTAATGGGCCTCATCTCAAAGCGTGAACATGCCTTTTTTATGTGACAATAATCCGTCCAATGAGAGTTCAAAATGCAAAATTCTTTGGGAGTACAATCAGGAAAATACCAAATATAAAAGGTGCAAAATAGTAGAGCGAATGGGACTTTTATTAAGAAAAGGATTTCTATCCTCCCAGAAATTCTTCCCAAACATTCAAGATACCTTAAATCGCTTTTGCAGGTCATGATATAGATCATAACTCACGGATAAGGGTACAACCCGATTTTATATTTATATAACCATCGTATGATTCAAGCTATTTTTGGGGTCTTAGTCCCTTTTTATTTTTTGGCCCTTATTAGGCATCTTTGTGTCTAAGGGGGTACAGAACCTCTTCGCATAAAATTTGAAATTTTCAGAGTAGGGCCCATATTGGTCTTGAACACATTCATCAATTGATTTGGCTAAAAAATTTTGTTATGCTACCCTGGGGAAGGGAACCATCATACAGATAATTGCCACATAGGAATTATTTAAGTAAAGTCTCCACATTGGAGTATCCCAAGTCCACTTTCACACCTAATGTGTGGTCAGAAAGGAAAATTTTGTATTCTATTGAATTTGTAACTCCCAAGAGAATATTGGTTGGGAACGTAGATTTGGAATGTACATCTATATGAAATAAATTGTGGGAACATGAACAAATTACAAATATAAGAAAGTAGTACGGGACCGAATATTTGTTGAATCGACATTGAATTATACTATGATGAAAAATATGGACTTTATGGGGTCTCCAATTTACAATTTAAATGGAAAATAAAAAAATTCCCATCTTACGGTAATGGGTGTGAAATACCTATAATTTTGAGTTGGCCTCTATTTGCCATATTGGATTATAAGG